CTGGTGGAGTGGCTCAAGTGGTAGAGCACCCACCTAGCAAATGAGGCCCTGAGTTCAAACCCTAGTGTCACAAAAAAAACAATGCAAATTAAAACACAACCCACCAGAACCTGTGAGACAGAGCAAAGCCAGTGCCAAGAGGAAAGTTTATAGCCATGAGGCCTATATCAGAAAGTCAGAGAGACCTCAAACAATCAACCTAATGATGCACCCTAAGCCATTAGAAAAGCAAGAATGAGCCAATCCAAAGACCAGTAGAAGGCAAAAAATAAAAAAAATTTGAGCAGAAATCAATGAGCACCAAAAGAACAATGCAACAATCAATGAAACAAAGAGATGGTTCTTTGAAAAGATAAACAAAAGCTGGGTGGCAGTGGCTCATGCCTGCATTCCTAGCTACTTGGGAGGCTGAGATTGGGAGGACCACAGCTTGAAGCAAGACAAAAAAGTTAGTGAGACCCCATCTCAAAAGAAAAAAGTTGTGCATGGTGATGCATACCTGTCATTCCGGCTATAGTGGGAAGCCTAAAACTGGAGGACAAAAGTCCAGGCCAGTGTGGGCAAAAAGTTAGACACTATCTCCAAAATAACCAGAGCAAAAGGGACTGGAAATGTAGCTCAAGCAGTAGAGTACCTGCCTAAAGTATGAAGCCCTGAGTTCAAACCCTACACTACCAAAATAAAAAAAGAAAAAAGATGAACAAACCTTCAGCCAAACTAACCAAAAAAAGGAGAAGATATAAATTAATAAAATCAGAGATGAAAAGAGGGATATTACAAGATACCAAAGAAATTCAGAATATCACTAAGGGAAAATTTGAAAACTTTACACTCCAACAAACTGGAAAATCAAGAGATGGATAAATTTCTTGATATATGTGAACTAACAAAACCAAACCAATTCAAACAGATCTATAACATGCAATGACACTGAAACAATAATAAAGAATGAAATTCAAACAGTAATAAAGAATATTCCAACAAAGAACATCCCAGGACCTGAATCCTACCAGACCTTTAAAGAGGAACTAACACCAATGCTCCTTAAACTTTTTAAAAAAATAGAAAGTGAAGGAATGCTACCTGTTATCCTATGACATCAGTATTCCAAAACTGGGTAAAAGATACAACAAAACAGAAAGTTATAAGTCAATATCCCTGATGAATGCAAATGCAAAATTCTCAATAACCAATAACAGAATCCAACAACACATTAAAAAGATCACACACCATCAAGTTGGTTACATTCCAGAGATGCAAACATGGTTCAATATACACAAAATAACAGATATAATACATAAGCAGAATTAAGAACAAAAACCATATGATCGCCTCAATAGATGCAGAAAAAACCTTTGATAAAATTCATTCTTTCATGATAAAAGCTCTTAATAGGAAGGAAGAAATATACTAAGCATAATGAAGATTATATATGATAAACCCAGAGCCAACATCATACTAAATGGAGAAAAACTGAAGCCATTTCCCCTAAAGACAGGAACAAGACAAGGGTGTTCCTTTTCCCCACTGTTATTTAATATGGTACTCAAATTCCTAGCCAGAAAGCCAGGAGCAGGTGACTCACATCTGTAATCCTAATGACTCAGGAAGCAGAGATTGGGAGGATCTTGGTTCGAAGCTAGCCTAGGCAAATAGTTTGCGAGACCCTATCTTGAAAAAACCCAACACAAAAAAGGGCTGGTAGAGTGGCTCAGGTTTAGGCCCTGACTTCAAACCTCAGCACTGAAGAAAAAAAAAAAAAATTCCTAGCCAGAAAAATAAGGCAAGAGAAAGAAATTAAAGGGATTCAAATCAGGAAGGAAGAAATCAAAATTGTCCCTATTTTCAGGTGACATGATCCTATACTTAAAGATTCTAAAAATACCACCAAAAAAACTCTTAAATCTCATAAACACTTTCAGCAAAGTAGGATACAAACTCAATACACAAATATCAGCATTTTTTCTGCACACCACCAATGAAGAGAAGAGAAAGATATCAGGAAAACAATGTCATTTACAAACGCTCCTAAAAAAAAAAAAAAGCCTAGCAATGAATTTAACTAAGGAGGTAAAACACCTCTACAAAAAAGAACCTGTAAAACATTAAAGAAAGAAATGAGAAGATATCAGAAGATGGAAAACCTACCTTGTTCATGTGTCAGTAGAATCAACATTGTGAAAACGGATGTATCCTGAGAGTAATTTACATGTTCAATGCAATCCGCATCAAAATTCCAATGACACTCTTCACAGAGGTAGAAAAGTCAACCCCCACAGTTCATACAGAAGCCCAAATGACCTTGAGTAGCCAAAGCAATCCTCAGCAAAAAGAGCAGTGCTGGAGGTATCACAATACCTGACTTCAAAATGTACCACAGAGCCACAGGGACAAAACTATCATGGTACTGGCACAAAAGCAGACATGCAGACCAACGGAAGACCGAGAAATAAGCCCACAAAGAATGGAAGAAACTCTTTGCCAGTTATATAGCTGACAAGGTGCTACTAACTAGAATATACAAGGAGCTCAAAAAGCTAAACTTCAAAAAACCAACAACCCAATTAATAGAAGGCAAATGAACTGAACAGACAATTCACAGAAGTATAAAAGGCTAACAAATACATGACGCAATGTTTCACATCCCTGACCCTTAAGGAAATGCAAATCAAAAGGACGTTGAGATTTTATCTCAACCCATTCTAAATGGCTATCATCAAGAATTCAAACAGGGTCCCTTGCGCAGGGTCTTCTCACTCATTTCTCATGCTATGTACACAGCAACAGATCCCCCTACCCCCATCACAGGCTTGGAGCTGGTTCACTGCCCTGGCCTCTGGGCTCCCCCAGACTTGGTCCCTACTGAGGACCTTCAGGACACTAAGAGACACCTGGAGCTACTGGAAGAGCTGGAGAAAGTGTTTGCAAAACAGCACAATCTGGTGGGGAAGAAGAGAGCCCAACTGGCAGCCAGGATCCACCTTACAGACAACCAGGTGAGGATCTGTTTCCAAAACCACAGGGTCACGTATCAGAAACAGCAAGAGCCAAAACTGCCAGCCATACCTGCCATCGCTGCCTCTCTGGATGAGCCTGTCAACAGCATTGACAGCAACAGTGCCGGTCCGGGCGACAACTGAAGACTGGGACAGAGGCCCTACCCACGCCATCTGGGGCCTGGGAGTACCCACAGTACCTGCCTACCCCACATCTTACGAAGAGCCTCCTCAAGTTCAAAGGGCACCAGATGGATCTGAACTGTCAGGCAGGGACACCCTTTTATATATGGACCCCTGGGAGCAAGAATAATGAATGTAAGGACAGAGGCACAGGCAGGCATTCAGCTATGTCCTTGGCTGAGTCACAGAACACAGAAACCTTTCATCTGAATAACGGGCTTATTAACAATGCACACTCCCAGGGGTGACATGATGTTGGTGAAAAACCTGCAACATGGTAAGGATGTGTTAACTGTGAGGCCCTCACCTGAGGCAGTGGTACCAGCACCAGCCCTGCCTCCCTGGCTGGCTATGGAGAAGAGCCTCCTTGAAGCAGGATCTGGGCGCAGAAGACTCTTCCACACCACAGAAGGTGGAGCTAAAAGCCAAGAGGAGGGAAAGGTAGACTGCTTAGCCCGCTCCTCAAAGAATGCCCCCAAAGTTCTGGGTTTTTTTGAACGGTTACCACCTTCAGAAGGAGCAACATGCCACCCTGACCACCATCTTTTGCCCTCCAGTTACCTGTCTTTTCCCTCCCCATCTTTATATAGAGAAGAGAAATGTCCAAAAAAAACCTAAAAACAACAAGTGCTGGCGATGCTGGGAAGGAGGGGAGGTACCCTTGTACGATGATGGTGAGAATGTAAACTAGTGCAGTGGCTATGGAAAGCAGTATGGAGGCGCCTCAAAAAAAAAAAAAAAAGAAGGACCATATGCTCCAGCAATACCAGTCTTGGGGATATAGCCAAAGGAATCTAAGTCAGGATACAAGAGACACCTGCACACCCATGTTTACTGCAGCACAAGAGCCACACTTTGGAATAAGCCCAGACACCCTTCAACCAACAAATGGATCAAGAAAATATGTGTGTGTGTGTGTGCGTGTGTGTGTGTGTGTGTACACACAATGAAATATTATTCAGCCATAAAAAATTAAATTATGGTGTTTGCAGGAAAATGGAAGAAACTGAAGATCATGTTAAGTAAGCAAGGTTCAGAAAGACAAAGGTCACATTTCCTCTTGTGCATAATTTAGGCTACATATGTATACAAATCTATTGACTACATATGCATGTACACATCTATATACACATGCGTTATGCAAAAGCAGGACTGTAACTGATGAACTCTCTTGAGGGGACTTGGAGATGGGGAGAGAGAAAGAATGATGGGGGAACAATGTAGAAATACACTTTATCTATGTATGAAGGTAGCACAAGACAACTCACTGAAAGCTGATGAAATGGGGGTAGACAGGGAACAGAGTGGGTTAAATCTGATCAATGTACAATATATGCACGTGTGAAATGTCACAGGGTAACTCCTTTATAGAATCAATATATACTAATTTTTAAAAAGTAGGGCAAAGATACCAGAGAAGCCAACCTTTTTTTGTTTTGTTGTTTTGGGCAGTACTGGGGCTTGAACTCAGGGCCTCACACTTGCTAGGCAGATGCTCTACCACTTGAGCCACTCCATCAACCCAGAACAGCCAATACCTCAGGAAAATCATCCTCACTTCTGCTTAAAAATAAAAAATGTAATGATGGATATTTCCACATGCTTAAAATGGTCTTTGTAACATAAAGTATGAAATATGTGTATTACAGATGAGAAAATTAAAGAAAAAAAATCTTTGCCCATAGTTCTAATCTCATTATTCAGGACTTAAGAAATTTCTTTTATTCATTATTGTTATGTCCAAGTATTTACAGACCTTTACATGGACCATAATCTTGGTCTTTTTTTTTTTTTTTTTTTTTGCCATCTCTGGTCACTCACCTAGAGTCAACAGCCTTCTTTTCCATTCTTGCCTTCACCCATTTGATGGAAATTCAACCAGTGGCTTGATATATACTTCTCACTGAGCAGATTAATGATGAATCAAAGGCTTTTGTTTTTTTAATCTTTCTCTTCTAGCTGTAAGAAAATGGAGGATAAGAGAGAGGATTATCTGCCAATGCATGGGAGTCACTTTTTTTTTTTCCGGTACTGGGGCTTGAACTCAGGGCCTACACCTTGACCACAGCCCTTTTTTGTGATGCCTTTTTTTTTTTTTTAAGACAGGGTCTCACAAAGTATTTGCCCAGGCTGGCTTCAAACCACGATCCTCCTGATCTCTGTTTCCTGAGTCGCTAGGATTATACGTGTGAGCACCTGACTGAGAATCACCCCCTTTTCCTCCTCAAACTAGCTGGGCATGGAGGCCTCTGACTTAAAACAGTCTTTTCAAACTGCATGATCAAAAAGTTACTTTGGTATTCGTGTGTGAATAAATGAATTTAAAAAAAAAAAAAAGTTATTTTGGGGCTGGTAGAGCGGCTCAGGTGGTACAGCCCCGGCCTAGCAATCATGAGGCCCTGAGTTCAAGTCCCATACTACCACAAAAATAAAAATTAAAAGTTATTAAAACTGAGAGGAGAGAAAGTACACTCAAAAGGTGTGACAGGTTCATTCTTTCAGGCCAGGTATTATTCCAACACTTTGAATTCCCCTTCCCAAGAACACTACAAAGTCCATGATTTCTTCATTTTTTTTTAATTGATCATTTTTATAGCTGTGTTATCTATAAGAATCTTCAGGCAGTTTTTGATCAGTAGTAGAAATTACTGTGCGGAATTTTCATTTTCAGTCAGCAATCACTTCTACCAAAAGAACATTTTGAGCTAAATAAATAACAGTTTTTTACTTATTTCTTAGTAAAAAGAATGGAGTTGTGGGTTGAACTGGGTTCCCCAAAAAAAGGTATGCTGATGTCCTAACTCCCCATACCTGTGAATGTGACCTCATTTGGAAATAGGGTCTTTACAGATGTAAGATATAAATTGAGGCCATACAGGAGTAGGGTGGGCCCTCAATAAACTATGACTGGTGTCCTTATAAAACGAGAAGAGAGCCAGGTGCACTGGCTCACACCTGTAATCCCAGCTAATCAGGGAGTGGCGAATGGGAGAATCAAAGTTCAAGGCCAGCCCAGGCAAAACAGTATCAAGACCCCAATCCCTCCCATCTTAACAAATAAGCCAGGAGCTGTGGAACACAACTGTGATCCCAGTTACAAGGGAGGAGAATGGAGGTCTGAGGCTGACCCCAGACAAATCTTCAAGATCTTAACTGAAAAATAAAGTACAGAAGGGCTGGTGAGCATGGTTCAAGGGAGAGAATGCCTGCCTAGCAAGTGCAAGGGTGAGTTCAAACCCCAGTACTGCCAAAAAAAAAAAAAAAAATTACAAGCATGCTGAAGATGTAGCTTAGTGGTAAAACACTTGCCTAGCATATGGAAGACCCTGGGTTCACTCAAAGGAAAGGAAGAGAAAAGGAAGAGGAAGAGAATGGGAACTGTGAATACAGGAAAATAGTAAAAAGAGACAAATTCCAAAACAGATCTGAAGTCTCTGAATTAGAAGTGGGTACAGTGGGCAAAGAATTATCAGATTAGGTTGGGGGTAGGGATTTCTAGGAAAAGACGGAACTGATGCTTTTGTGAATATCCCAAGAAAGTTACTGGTGTATATGAGAAATGTTGAAGCATTTAGAAAAATTATTTGTGATCTGTGCATGGCATACCAGGCAAATAGGAAAATAAGACAATGGTAAAATTTGGAGGGAAATGATGGAATGCAATACTCAGTTCAACAGTTAATATTTGTTACATAATAGAAATAGTGATTATTACTTTAACACAAATTACTGCAAAACCTTACCTTGAAAAGATGAGCTAAGTACTTATAGCCCACGAATAAGTCAATACAAAGTGTAAAACTAATGGGGAAATAATACCATTAAAAATTTACTTCCCGTTTATAAATAACATGAGGAGAAACATCTAGAAGAAGTGCATGGCACTTTCTTCCCTCCCCCAACCCTCTCTGGCGCTGGAATTGAACTCAGGACACCCTCCCCCCCAAGTCAGGCCAGCATTCTACTACTGAGCTACATCCCCTCAGTACAGGGCTATTTTCTATTATAAAATTTTAATATGAATTTGGAAAAAAAATCCTGACGTTCCTACAGTATTTTGCAATTTCTAATAACGACTGAAAAATGAATGACCCTACTATAACCAATAACGGGGAAATTTATACTGTAAGATCCAAAATTAAGTTTCAGTTATTACTTCTCATAGTTCATAAACTAAACTACATTGCATAAACTAAAATATATTATGGAGTAGGTACTCTGTGCCAGACCTACTATTAAAACACTTTTTGTTGTTGTTGGCGGTGCTGGGGAAGGAACTCACGGATTCACCCATGTCAGGCTAGTGCTCTATCACTGAGCTACAGCCCAATACCTACATCATCGTCATCATTATAATTATTACTTTATTATTATTATTGGGGGATTGGAGTTGACTCAGGACTTCGCACTTGCAAAGCAGGCGTTCTGCCTTTTGAACCACCTCCAGTTCATTTTTCTCTGGTTATTTTGGAGTGGGAGCGGGGGAGTCTTGAGAACTAGTTGCCCAGACTGGCCTGGAACTGTGATCCTCCCGATCTCAGCCTCCCAAATAGAGAGTATTAGCTCAGCAGGTGACTGATGGGGTGAACGAAAAGAAACCCTGTTAGGATTGGACCCAGCCCCCACCCTTGCAGGCAGCTTACTGACACCCCACCCCACCCACTGGAAGGACCACATCTGGCCTCACGGAAATGACAAGCCACCAACTCGCCAGAAGGTCCGGAGCTGAGCAACTTATCTCCGTAATTACCAGGCATCACCTCTAGCTTCCCCTAGCGATGGCTGACTCCACTCAGCATTCTCCCACCCCGCGGGGTCTCCCCTCCAGACGGCTCTCTGTATCTACTGCAGGTCGGCTGGGGAACCCCCCCCTCCGCAGGGCTCCTTCCCAACAATAAACCCTGAGCTGGCGTTTGAGCTGTCTCTCTGCCGCTTTCATGTCTAACAGCGATCGCCACCTTCAATTCATAGCTGGGATGCTCAAGGCCACCAGCTATCAAGTGATAGGGCCGGGACTGGTGCTCGAGTCTCCAACACCGCTCGGTCACCAATTATTTACTACGCGCGCGGCCGTGGGGAAGGCGCAAGGTCGGAATGTCACGTGACACACACCCACACCCCCGATCCTACGTGGGGGGCCCTGAGGCCGGTGCGCCCCAGCCCGCCGGAAGACCGGCTCTAAACCTCCGATTCCGTCCCAGTGCGCGGGAAAAATGCAACGTTGCAAACAAGCAGCAGAAACCACCCAAGCGTGCTGGTGGACCTGAGTTCAAACCCCAGTACCACAAAAAAAAAAAAAAAAAAAAAAAAAACTACGCAAGCGCCGCGCTTCCACAGGAGGAAGCCCAGACTCCATCAGCAGAGTCCCAGGGCCCGACTCCGAGGCGCTTGCGCTCGCCGCCGGGCTCAACCGTCCAAGTGGCCGGGCCACTCAATGGTTGGGGACGATAAGCCGAGCCTCGTACCTCAGGACGCCGAGTCACCAGGGAGAAGTCCCCGAGAGCGCCGGCGAACCCTTTGGACCTCCACAGGCCCGCGCGGCGAGAGCCCGCCTTTGCGCTTCGCGCGCTTCCGGACGCGGGCCCCGCCCCCGTCTCCACGGCAACGCGGCGCTCGCCAGACGCCCCGCCCCGGATGCTGGAGTTCGCGCAGCCTCAGTCGGGCAGGTGATGCGCCTCCCTCTGGCTGCAGGGGAGCGGGCGGCGGCGCGAGCTGCCCGGAGGGGCGCGGACTGACGGACGTGCCACTCAGTGGGCAGCCACTCCGCTGGCTCTCGGCTGGCTTGGCGGCTCGCTGCCCTCTGAGCCCGGGTTACACCTGAGGAGCAGGACCTGTTTGGAGGCGGATCTGCGCATCGCGCCTCCTGCAGCCCAGCGCTAGGGATGAGGTTGTGCCGCCTCCAGGCCCTGGGTTCTCCAAGGTTCCCCGCGAGTGCGAGTCAGAACCTGTGCAGCAGGCCAGGGAGGTTATATGTAGCAACCGGCCTGGAGGGGAGGGGACCCGCACCCCAAAATGAGAATATCTCAGGCTGATCTCTTCTTACAGCCCTTCCTTTAAAAATGCGATGAAAAAAGCTTCTGGGTTTTTTTGTTGTTGTTGTTGTTTGTTTTTTGCTTTAACTAGGGTCAGCCTTGTAATCTTTTAAAAAATGGACGGGTCAGTGTAAGTGAACTCTATATATGTATGTATACATATATATGCATTTTTTTTTTTTTTTGCAGTACTGGGATTTAAACTCGGGGCCTCATGCTTCATATGCAGGTGCTCTACCACTTGAGCCACACCCCCAGCCCTAAGAGAAATATTTTGATACACTTTTCCCCTGTGCTTTGTAAAACATTTTGTAAGCAGGTGAGACTTCTGGACAGCAAAAACTAGCACCATTTATTTAAATGCTTGAAAGGTTTTATATTAACATGAAGGGAAAAAAATAACTGTTGGGTGTCTGGGAGTTAGAAGCACAAGTAATTTGCATTTTTACTATTTTTATTCTCATTTTTTTTATCGTGTTGGGGGAATTGTGGCATTTACAAAAGTTCTTACAATGTATCAAATATAACATACTTGAATTCAACCCCTCCCCCATCATTCTCCTTTATCTCTCTCTCCATACTATTTTTACATACACTAAATATTTGTAATTAAAGTGTTTAAGAGAGTTCTACTTTAGCAGAAAATTAACCTTCGGGGGATGACTTATCTGAAGCTATGGCCAAGTAATTTTTAAATAATTTGGTGTTTGTAGTCAGGACTGTGACCAGTTCTTACTTACTGTAAAGATAGTCTTACTGTAAGTTCTTTATATAGATATGTAAGTTCAATATTCAGGATGACCAACCAGTAAGCATACTTTCTGGATAGATCTGATTTGCTGATTAGTTCTGTCGTACATTTACCACCCTTAACTCTGACCCCCCCCCCTCAGGAAGTAGGTTCATGGAGTGCCTCAAGTGGTAGAGCGCCTGCCTAGTAAGCATGAAGCCCTGAGTTCAAACCCCACTACTGCCATAAAGAGAAAGGAACTAAAGACACTTCATGTAAGTTATAATGAAAATAATTAGTTCTGTGATGAAACAGAAGTTAACAGTATATAATAATAATATAGGAAGTGTGAGGCCCTGAGTTCAAACCCCAGTGCTGCTGAAAAAGAAAAAAATTACAGCCATGATGTGTCAGAAGAGATCTTGGGCTCTGCAAATAATTTGCTGTATGGTTCTCAGTCTTTCTTGCCTTAACCTAAAGGATATGATGTGACAACCGCGAAACTTTTAAAATCCTGGTTTCTTGGAACTAAATATTATCCTTGAGATGAGAAAAACTAAGTTGGAACAAGCCCTTTTAGAGATGCAATCCCAACTTTGAGATTAGCCTGTTGAAGGTAACAACCTGGTAGGAAACTTTCACATGGGTTCATTTCTAGGTTTATAGTATTTTCATTTTCGTCTCTACTGTTCTTTGACTGCCCAACTTCCTGGAGTGAACCTGTGAGTTCCCTTATGCTAGACTTTGAACCAACACTCTGACCCTATGCCAAGTTCCTGCAAATATTCAAGACTAGAATAAATCACTTCTCTTATTCTCCCAAAGGGGTTTCCTGTATGACATTCCAAAATTATTAGTTGAATAAAAAAGAAAGCAACTTACTTATTTGGCAGTACTGGAGTTTGAACTCTGGGCTTTGCACTTGCTATGCAGGCGCTCTACCAAGCCTCCAGTTCAAAAGAACACTTTATAGTTACAAATTGCCATTCTGGCCAAGTAACATGCAATTGTTACAAAGAAACAAGAATTAGCAAGCATCTAACTTGTGCATAGCACAGGTGAAAGAACTTTGAGTGCCTTTCCTTAGTAAATTGTTACCTTTATTCCTAGGTAGTAATTGTGTTCTCCTTTTGCAAGGTCAAGCAAGAACTGAGAGTAAAAAGAGTGAAGGCCAAGATTCTTCAAGTCATGAAAGAGTAACTAGACGTTACTTAAGAAATTAGTTCCAGACCACAATTGTGATAGCTACAAGACCTTGAGCACTGATTCTATGTATGGTTTGCAGTGATTTTAAGATGTATTCTCAAATTCTTTGACATTTTGCTCACATAAAGGAGGTGTCTAAGTCTCTTTCCTTTGAATAGTCCAGCTTTTGTGAGTCCTTTCTAAAGAACATAATGTGACAAATGGCAGAACACTGAGTGACTTCAAGGCTAGGTTAGAAAAAGCCAATGCAAGGCTGAGTGTGTAGCTCAGTTGAGGCAACCCAGCCCTCTTTTTCTCTCTCTGGACACTGACCCTTGGAATCTGAAGCTCAGGCCATGTGTAAGTGTTCCAGCCAAAGTTCCAGTTGTCCCAGCTGACAGCCACCTTCCGCTACCAAACATGTAAGTGAGCCTGTAGGTGATCCTCGCTCCCAGCCTTTAAGCTGCCTAGGATGATGCTGAATGCAGCAGAGACCAGCTATCTTACAAATTTGGTAGCAAAATATGTACTGGTTTAAGTCTGAGTTTCGGGATGCCTTGTTAAACAGCAAGAGATAACCAGATCAGAATTGTTTATTTGTGTGTGTGTGTGTGTGTGGCAAGGATCCCTTTCTGACAAATGAGGCTGATGTCTACAGTGGTGAAATGCTGGAGTTCATATTTCACACGAAGTGACAGAGCCAGGACTTAATAGCTCCAAAAAGAGCCCTCCTCAGGCTGGGCCCTCAGTTCAATCCCAAGCACCACAAATAAAACAAAAACTCCATAATAGCAAGGGATTAGTCCTGTTTCTCCCAGTTTTAGGAAGAACTCAGATTCCAAAGAAAGCTTGCTTATTTTTGGTGTTTTGTTTTGTTTTTTTCCTGGTACTAGAGTTTGAACTCAGGGCCTATACCTTAAGCCACTCCACCAGCCTTTTTTGATAGGTTTTTCAAGATAGGGTCTCTCAGAAGCCAGCGAAGGCTGACTTCAAACCACAATCCTCCTGATCTCTGCCTCCTGAGTAGCCAGGATTACAGGCATGAGCCTCCATTGCCCGGCTGTTTTTGTTACTGCTGTTTCACCATGCTGGGGATCAAACTCAGGACCTCCAGCATCCTAGGCAAGTTGCTCTACCACCGAACTAAATATCCAGTCCAGGAAACTTGGTTTTTAAAATAATAAAAATGACCATGTGGGGCTGAGGGTGTGGATCAAGTGATAGGGCAAAGCACTGCCAGAAACAAACACACAAAAACCCTGGGATGGAGGGGGTCGGGTAGAGCTCAGTGGTACAGCCAATGCCTAATATTGGAGAGGCCCTGGGTTCCATCCCTAGCACTGAAACATTTTTTAAATTATTTTTCAAAAAAAGACCTGCAATCTTTGTGATAGTTGTAAAAGGCTTTTTATCCACCTTGTCATAATCTTGACAACTGCTCTGCGAGTGGATTATCACATTCCAGTTTTTCAGATAAGAAAACCAAGATAAGGAGTAATAAAATGCCTAACTCCTGTAGCCTTCTCTGCCTCTTGCCTGCACAAAGAAATTTACTCAGTATTACAGACAAAAAGAAAAAGATAGGGTCATGCCAGTTGCCCAGACAGGCCTTAAACTCCGAACCCTCACGTCACGAACTGGGATTACAGGCACAAACCAGCACGCCGGGTTTCGCGGCTCTTCAACAAAAGAATTACGTCTCAATCCCCCTACCCAACAAGTCATTTCACATCAACTCTGGGCTCACAGGTCACCTCCTCAGTGCAGTTCATTTGCGTTTGTGCTAAACGATTTACGGTCGCCATCTCATTCTCCCCCAGGGTAAGTTTGCACTTCCCCTTCCCGTGCAGGCTAAGGGAAGATTCAAGATGATGGACGAGAGAAAAACATTTCAATGAATTTGCCGGTCGCCTTTGTCAATGGCAACTGTGATAAGTTTGCTTGTTAATGCACCAACTCGTGCTCCTTCCAAATCCGTCTCATAGATTTAGAACCCATTTTAGAAAGAAGAGCTAAGTCAGAGCTTTACCCAAGATCACGCCACTAAGTAAAAACCAGAACTGAGCCGGGAGCCGATGGCTCACAACTGTAATTGTAGCTACTTGGGAGGCTGAGATCGGGTGGATTAAGGTTCAAGAACAGCCCAGAAGAAATAGTTCTGAACACCCCAGCTCCAAAATAACCAGAGCAAAATAGACAGGAGGTGTGGCCCAAGCAGTAGAGCATCTGCTTTGCAAGCGTGAAGCCATGAAGCTCAAACTCCAGTCCCACTCCACCCCACCCCACCCCCCCCCAAAAAAAAAAAAAAAACAGCTGAGTTGCCTTAACTCAGTTCCCCACTGCGGAAGCCACATCAGTGGCCGCGCCTGCCCGACAGGCCAGGATGCAGAAGCAGACACACCTCGCCGCCGCCTTCCCGGCCCAGCAGCGTGGCGCCGGTCTCGGGCCCCAGACGCTCCGCCCCCTCATTGCGCGTGAGAACGCGACGCCCTCCCTGGGGCTGCCCACGGCGAACGCCTGAGCGCAGGGGCGCAACCTTCCACTCCCCTCACCGCGGCCTCCACCCTGACGCCGCCTCTGCTTCCAACCGCCGCCTCTCCGCCACCGAGTTCTCGCAGAGGCCAGCGCCTGAAGAGAGCGCGGCGCAATGTTTCTCTTTTTCACCCGGCACCGTCGCAGCCACCTCACATCCGGGCGCGCGGACGCGAAGGCGGTGCTGGGGCCCCGGTGCGTGGAGGGAGTTATTAAGGGGGAGGGGGCGGGAGAGGAGGGTGGAGGGCTGGGCCGCAGTTACGGCGGCTGGAGAGAGACAGCTCAAGTGGGTGGGGGGGGGGGTGAGAGCGAAGGCCGCCGGGAGTTGCGCTGGGACCGGCGCGGACAGCGGGGAGGGAAACGGCGGCGGCCGTGGTGAAGGGCCGCCGAAGGGCGGCGGCGGCGGCACCGGCACCCAGTAAGGGTTCAGCGGCGGGGAGACAGAGAGAGAGAGAGAGAGAGGGGGAAAGAGAGAGCGCGAGAACGCGAGCGCGCCTCTCCGGGGTCGCGTGCGTAGCTCGGTGTGCCGGGACGTGCGCGTGCGCGCGCGCGGGGTGTGGGGGCGGGCTGGGGCTCGAGGCCCACGGGGCGGCCGGCGGTCAGCGGGCTGGCTGGCTGGCTGGCGGGCCGGCTGGCGGGGCCCGAGCCGCCGAGGCGGACGGCGGCGGGCCTGCGCCGGGGCTGGGGGATTTGGCCTCTCTGCTTGCTGGGGCCCGCCTCCCCTGTGTGAGTACCGTCCCCGCCCTTCCTCCAAAAAAGGCCGCTCGTCCTAGGGCCTGCGCGAGGGGCCGGGGGTTGGCCTGGGGAAGCTGAGTTTGGGAGGTGCAGCCAGCGTTCGCCCTGCTCTTGCCACGGACGCCCCTGACATGGCCACAGGTGCGGCCGCCTGGGCGAGGGGCGTTCGGGCCCGGTCCCCCCTCCCCCCGACCCTCAGGTAACAAGGGGCAGCTGATGCCGTCCATTGACAAGTGACAGGCTTCGTGGATTCGCAGCCCCAGCCAGTCTCCTACCCGCCCCGACTCCGGGAAACTTCCCACCACTGTTTGATCGGTCCCCGTGGGTGGCGATCACTCTTCTGATTTCTTTGAAGTCAATCTGCTTTAAAGGTTGTACCCTGAGTCTGGTCCCTTCCACTTCTGCTTTCCTTACCTTATGGATGCTTGAAATACTTTTCTAGGCGAGATAACAAAGTCCCGGTGATTCTGTTTCCAATTTGACAGTGTATTTTTGTTGTTAATATATATAAAGAAAACAGTTTCAGTTTTTTGAAGCAGTCAAGATTTCTGAAAATTTCCTGTTCTCTGTGATAGTTTTGTACTGCTTTATCTTCCAGGTGCAAAAAATTGTAGACCAAGAAGCCATGGATAGGAGAAGTGTGAATGAAACCGAAAATGGAGATGCATTCCTTGACCTGAAGAAGCTACCGACCTCCAAATCCCCCCATCGCTATACAAAAGTAGGTTTCGTTACTAATGAGGTAGTTTCTTTATGGGTAGGGAATTAGTAACATTGTGTTGGTATTTCTTTGGGATTATTTAAAGTGATAGTCTTGTTCTGACTCACTGTATGAACTAAGTAATAACTAAATTTCCTAAAGGTTTGCTTTGAACATTTTTCTGGAAGTGTGAATACGGAGTGTAAACTTGAGTTTGCTTCTAAGTAGCTTTTGGGTGAAGGGAATACTGTCTCAAACCTCTTATGAATTTGCGGATCAGTATATATTAGCGCCCCCCTTCTGGAATAGCCTTGTGATTTGTGTGCTGCTGACTTAGGTGCTGTAGGGTGAGGATTCCAGCTCTGGAATGTGTCAAAAATCTGTGCCTCTGGATTAATGTTTCCTTGAGGCCAGCCCCCTGTAGGAATGGTCTGGCCAGGATAACTGGACTTTTCTCTTTTTTTGATTTATCATGCATTATTAACACGAGATGATTTCATTGTGATAAATCCGTGTAACAGTACGTTGGTAGCTGGACTTTCTAGTTAAGTTTTTGTGCTTCCTGTTACAAACTGGACAAAGACTCACAAAAGTAATACTTCAGTCATATTTCTTTTTCCCAAAAACTAGTGATTTCAAACTGCTCACCTTGACATCCGCTCTAGGTGGGAGTGGCTCAGGTACCACCTCCTGGTCATGTGTGTGTTAAAGATCCTGCACCAGTGTCCGGTTGGCTACTGAATGTTTCTGAAGAGGCAGACAGGACTGCTGAGCTGTAAATTCTTTTCTGTCTTGCTGAAGGTTCTGGGCTTGAGTACACAAACCTATGCTGAGAGAAAGCAATTTGGAGTGTCTCTCACCGTGTTGTAGTTAGGCCCACAGCTACATTTCCTCAGTGTGCACCTTGACGTGGACTCTAGCATGGCTTACTGTTCCTGGCTTCCCTGGATGGGGACTAAAGCTGAGCCTTGTCTGTGTACTGCCCTTACTCTTGCCACTTGATAGTCATTGCCAGCATTTAAAAGAAAAAAACTGAAGCCCTGGAGGGGGAGGTTTTCAGGTATTAAAGGGTCCTTGGTTGATTGCTGTCTTAGCACAAGGTTTTGGCATGACAGAGTTGGAAAGCTTTTGGGTTCTGCATTCAGATTGTCTTCCTAAATGGAGATGCTCTCAAACCTGAGTGTGTGTGTAGTGCTTCACAATTTAACTTCATTGTCTAAAATGTTGACAGGTGAATTCTGAGTGGGGAAAAGCTTATCAAATGAAGGGAAATTGATTTCCGCCCCCAGTACTGGGGGTTTGAATTCGGGTCTGTGCTTACTAGTCAGGCGCACTACTGCTTGAGTCACGCCCCCACCCCTTTCTTCTTTATTCTTTGAATAGACTTTTATGCCCAGGCAGGCCAGGTGGCAATTCTGTTTATGCTTTCCCAGGTAGCTGGGATGACAGGCATACACTACCCCACCCAGCGTTTTACTGGTTCAGATTGGGATCTCCTGAACTTTTTGCCCAGGCTATCTTTGAACCTTGAACGTCCTGATCTCCGCCTCCAAAGTAGCTATAATTCCAGGTGTGAGCCACTGTGCCAAGCCTTATTTTTATTTTTTAACAGCCTATATTAATTGTACAAGTAAGGGTTTCATTATATTTTCATATATGCATAGTACTGTGGAAAACTGACCAGACTGCTTGTGATTCCAAATAGCCTACCACTTTTTCTTTTTTTTTTGCATTACTGGGTTTGAACTCAAGGCCTACACCTTCGGCCACTCCACCAGTCCTTTTTTTTGTGGTGGGTTTTTTTGAGATAGGTTCTCTTGAATTATTTGACCAGGCTGGCTTCAAACCATGATTCTCCTGATCTCTTGCCTCCTGAGTAGCTAAGATTTCAGGCATGAGCCATCAGCGCTCTGCCTCCTAGCACTTTTTGAATTACAGTTCTAACTTGTAGTCTGTTTGGAGAGTCCCAACAGAAAGGCTTTTGAATCACTTTCACACACGATCAAATGCTGGCATGTCTGTTTCATCTTCATATGTTTCCATTTTTATGCTTAAGTCATTCTTAGGGAGCTATTGTTGGCCTCTCTTATAATAGGACTAGTATTTGTGTATAGGAAAGATTAAGAGGAGGATGAGGCAGGAGGATCCTGAGTTCAAGGCCAGCCTGGGCTGCATAGCTTTAGTATTGTCCTTTTCTGTTGTTTTGTTTTTTTGTGTTTGTTTTTTTGACTCAGGGTGTGGGTATGTAGCCTAGGCTGGCCTTAAACTAGCAATCCTCCTGCCTCAGCCTCTCCAGTGCTGGGATGACAGACGTACTCCACCATGCCTGGCTAGTATTATCCATTTTTGTCAATCCAGTCTCAATTCTATCACACTTAAACCTGCTTTAAAGAACTCATTAAGAGACTAGACATGGCGGGGCACATGTAATTCCAGGTACTTGAAAGGATAACAGTTCTAGGCCAGCCCAAGCAAAAAAGTTAGCAAGATTCCCTATCATAACCAATAAGCCAAGCATGGTAGTACACATCTGTAATTCGAACTACAGGGGAGGCATAGGTAGGAGGATTGCAGTCTGAGAACAGCCCTGGGCAAAAATGGAAGACTCTATCCAGAATATAAAGGAAAAAGGAGCTTGGGGTGTGGCTCAAGCCTGCCTAGCAAGCAGGTGGCCCTGAGTTCAAGCTATAGTACAACAAAAAAAATACTGGTTAAGAAAACTATAGTTTTTGTTTTTGGTGTTACTAGGGTTTGAACTCAGGGCTTCCCACTTGCTAGGTGGGTGCTCTTCCACGAGCCACACCTCCAGCCCAGTGGAGCTTAGATGTAACAGTCTTCCCAGCCTAATTTAGCTGGCAATAGGCTTAACTTTCTACTCCATTCAAGAGGCTTTTGCTCAAGGCAATTTTAGGATAATGTTTAGACAGTGTTAGGGTAGTACTTTCTTGTTTCTCAGCACTCCACTAATTTTAGATGGATTTTGAGCTCTAAACCCATCTGTGTTTGAAGAGTTTGAAATGCTCCTACATTCTGAGCCCTACAATAAATGTTCTGTTCTACAACTAGAAAAATACTTGAGCCATCCTACTGCCTCATGGATGTACTGAGGTCAAATTATTGGAACAAATAAAGCATTTACTAATGTTTCTGCCACTTCAAGTTCATGTGTTAGAAGTTCAGAAAGCAGTACAGGGAATCTATTCTCGTCAGGGATTTTTATAGTTGGTATGTTCTTTGGAAACTCTTGTAAGTGTGGGATGTTTACTTACAAGGTCAGAAAGACACCTTGGCCAGACGAGAGGCCACTTACCCTTTGACCCTTCCTAGTTCAGGGACAATGTTAAAAGTTGATTGCTGAGAATTCAGAGGTGATTTTTGTTTCCATGAAGGTGGAAGGGTGCAGTTGTTTGGTCAGGTGCTTTCTAGGGTAAGCATTACAGCACTTTCCCATGTTAGGACATCCTCAGTCTAGCTTGTTTACCATGTTAATGTGCCTGGGACTCGCACAGGCCTTGCTTAAAGAATGAATTTTTAGGTCAGGGGTAGGCCTGAAGACAGGGCTTTTTAAGCAGCTCCCAGCCCGTGCTGCTAGTCCACTGCCCATACTTTGAGTCCCTTGAGAGTTTAATCAGTGGTACTGGTGTGATCAGGCAACTGAGATCTGTAGTTACTCCCTGGGGTTCAGATGGTGTCTGTCGTGCTTCTAAGAGTACCTCAGGAACTCAAGTTAGACTCACACCCACATCAACTCTTCAGTGACAGTTCAAATGAAAGTTATTAAGTGGGTTCATCACCATTAATTTATGAACTCAGGTCTGTTTTGGTAGGCCAGGTTCTGAAGACCAAGAGCCAAGTCTTGGAGATTTTTAAAATGTGACTGGATAATGCTAAACATCTTTTGGAGGTTGTAGAGTGAGTCTCACCTGAAAGCCATACATGAAAAGTGGTTTGCCCAGAGTCTCTCAAAACGTGACTCCTAAACAGCATTAGTATCACCTGCTAGCTTGTTAGGACTACAGAGCTCAGGTTCCTTCTCAGTGGTATTGAGTCGGAAGCTCTGGAGGCCAGAGCCCAGCTATGGTGTGTTAAACAATCCTTCAGGGGATTCTGACTCTGGTTCCAGCTTGACATTAATTTGGGAACTAGAGGAGGCAGTGGTGCTTATAAATGGAAAGTTCTGGGGAACTTGTTCACCTTTTTCTTACCTTCACCAGAGGCCCTTACTTTCTGTTGTGTTAGTCATGTCATCTTTTGCCTGAAATGCTTCAGACTGTCCCATAATTCAGAACCATGTTTTATTTCCTTTAAGTGAACAAACTAATCTTAGATAACTACACATACTTTGTGATGTTCCTCTCTTGCCCCTGTTTTTTGCGACCTTATTAAATGCTGTCCCCTGCCAGTTGGGCAGGGAATAAAAGCAGAGAGCACTCAGAGAACATTATCTGCTGACCACTGTTGAGCATGTATGTTAAATCACCTAGCTGAAAAGCAATTGTTGGGTTATCAGAGTTTAACTTCATGTGGGCTCGGCTTAACCTTGACAACTTATGAATTGGCCCCCTTAGTCCTCATCGTATGAAAGGCTCTTTTAAGGAGTCACCCTAATTTGTGACTGCCATGCCAGTTGGTCATAGTAGTAGTTACAGCCATATTTTGTCTGTGCTTCAAAGTTGTTAAAAAAATATATATAACCAAGCCGGGAACAGGTGGCTCACGCCTATAAACCTAGCTACTTTGGGAGGATCATGGTTCAAGACTGGCCCAGGAGACCACTGTCTCCAAAATAACCAGAGCAAAATGAACTGGAGGTGTGGCTCAAGTGGTAGAGCACCTGTTTCGTAAATGTGAAGTCCCAAGATCAAACCCCAGTACCACAAAAATAAAAAAAAAAAAAGACTTGAAGTTAAACCTCTGAGAAAAGAGTAAGATTAAATTCCAGGTAGAAATCAGAAACCAGATGGTCCATTTTTCCTATGCAAACATCTTGTTTGGTAACTTTGTATCTTCCATAAACTGAG